AAAATATTCAAAATTAATCAGCAGAAAGAGAGAACAACATAATTGTTAAAATTCCAAACTCTTTAAGTCTTGTCATTAATTTTTTTGTGCGGCTTTCTTAAATTACATTAGGATGCCAGCCCAAATGTTTCCTCATTCTGGCGTAGCTATTGCCCAGGAACATGAGTATACTGTTCTCAGGTTCTTCTATGTCTTGGAAGGAGAAAACACTGTCAACTTGTTAGGCTTTCAATATACATCACAGTACTTACTCATCATAACACTCCAAACCTGAAACTCCTGTACTTGACACAATATGAAATTCTTCAGGAATTAAAGTATCTGTTAGTGTCTTTGGCTTAAAAAAAAAAAATAGAAAGAAAGAAAAGAATGAATACATTAATAGGTGAAAAAAATCGAATTTCACAAATCCAAACTGCTAACCCAAAGGGATACTATCTATTAAGTACAGAGATTACGATTAGAGATATAAGTAATGTGGATCATAGCAAATAACAAAAAACTAAGTAAAGCACAAATCTCTAAAATAACCATGAATCAGAAAACTTTGGCTCTGAAGATTTATTGTTATCTTTTAAATTCAGCAGAGAAGCTAAAATTTAATTTAACAAAATACCAAAGGTAAGAATTCTACAACTTTATATATAGGTTTCAGGGGAAGGGAGGGAGTCCCCCATGTGGCATTTTCCACAATTATCCAAAGTGGATGACTGTGGCTTGGAAAATGGCTTAAAATAAGATATCTTTGATCTTTTCCTTGCTAAATGCCCTTTTTAGGGAATCATTGGAAAGTGCTATGAAGACTGGTAAGTAGTATAGGTTGTTTTTACAGTATCACATTGTTTTATATTTCCAGGAAATGATGTTTAAAGTAGAAGGAGGGAGAGAAGGTTATTTGCCAAATACGTTACCTTATGAGGCACAATGGCACCATCCTGTGCTTGCAATGAACGGTCCAAACGTGGGGGACAAATTGTATTCTCCCTAGTCTCCCCTCTCACATATTTAACATCATACAGAAAAGAAATGTCCCTAAAAAAAAAAAAGAAAAATATACTTACAAGATAAATTTTATGTCTAGCTACTAAAATGAGTAAGATCTACACACAGCTGAGGTAAAACAGCCATTCGTGTCAGCAAAACTTACCTCCTTACCAAATACTTTACTAAGAAGTCAGGCATTAAACACAAGCTTCCACCCCATTCTTCCTCTTCTCCACCTGAAACTCTGCATTCACATCACGTACTTTCTTTTCCTCCAGTCTCCAATTAAGACACATTCTCTTCCTTACGGATACTCTCTCCATTTAGGTCCTTGATTCGTCTTTGCCCATAACCTCCGGAATCTCATCCCATCAATCATAACTTCTGTGCATCTCTCACTCTATTGGAACATTTCTCTATTACAAGTCTTTTCTCTTGCTAAAAATCTCCTCTTAACTTATGCATTGCTGTCATGTTATCGTGATTGATTGCTGATCAATCCATCTATCATCTCTCACTTTCTGTTAAACATCAAACTTCCTGAAACATCCCTGCGATCTGATTTCCATCCACACCTCTCAAGTGAAAGCATGATACAAAAAGTGAATGATGACTTAGCCCTGCCAGGTAAAATGTCTTATCTTTTGTGGGTGGTGGTGAGCCAGGGAGTGCTCTGGAGACCTACTCTGGCACACTGCTGAGTACAAGGCGGTAGGACTCTGCCCGGCCACCCTCAAATGCCGTATGCCACCCCTCTACCAAAGGCAAATCTTTGCACCTCACGGTATTAGCACCAATTCCTGTTTCTGGTACTTTGGATCTCAGCTAAAGAAGATGAAGTCTTTGGGAAAATGTGTCTATTGTGCACAGGTGTTCAAGAAATCCTCCTGAGTGAATAACTTTGGCATCTGGGTATGCTGCAACTCCCACTGTGTCACCTACAATACGTACTGGGAATATGGGGACCTAACCACCTTAGGCACCGTCACCCAGTGTTACCGAGACATGGGCGCCCAGACCTGTGCCCAGCTCAATCCAGATGATGAAGCCAGAGGAGATCGTGGCCTGTAAATCACACTGGCTTAAGTAGCTCCACGACTCCAAGATGAAGTTCCTGCTGCCCCACTGGGTCCTGCATTATCAGCATAAGCCCTGCTTTATCACCAACAGGCTTGACACCTTCAACTAGATGCAGCACCCTCTCACCTCCATTTTGCCCAAATAAACTCAAGGACACTCAAAAAAACAGCCAGTCTCAGCTCACTTATCTTCCACTACACTTCCCTAGACTATTTTCCAGAGTTGATCACATTTGCGACTTTTCCATAAGTCAGAAATATTATTTCAAAATTAGAAATTTAATAAGACAAAATAAAGAAAGGTGAAAAAACAAATTTTCTGGTAACCAAGATATGGGCAAGTGGTCTAAACTAGCCCAAATAAACACACTCCCAGGAGACCGAATCTTGAGTAACTTAATCTTAAGTGAAGATTTCAAAGACAGACACAATAGGCATTAATTCATCCCCATGGTGATGCCCCTGCAATGACTGTTAGATCCTTCTACCAGATTCTCCAGAGCTGCCTTAAATTTGGATATTTTTGGAATCTGATTACTCAATGTTTTCCTTCAATTTTGTGACTGCTCACCTTTAACTTTCCTATGTTGTTTTCATAGCCCAGATGGTTTCTTACTCAAGCCCTGAGCACCCCCTCCAGAAGGCCTTCCTCACCAGACTCACATACCCAAATCCTCAATGTCCAACTGAAGCGTTACCCTCATGAAAACAGTTCTGTCTTTCCCCATCAAAGTCATCTCCTCTACCTCTAAACTCCCTCTATTCAGCACTTAGAGCTTCCCAGAATACCTGGAGCCATGCTTTTCATATGCCAGACATAATTAAATATTTCTAGAATAAATTCATTTAACATTCACCTTTTACCAACCAAATTTTGAAATTTCTATAATGCCTACAGTCACCTTGTTATGTAAAGTCACAGCAATGACCCGGATTGTTTATATTGAAAAGATTTTATGTGCAGAGATTATAAGAGAAAAGATGGGTAAATTTGTCTGCATACATTTATACATGGCAAAAACCACCAAAACCAAACGTAAAGGGGCAAACTGAGAAGATACATTTTCAGATCATATCACTGACAGAGACTATTTCCCTATAAATTATCTCTATAAATAAGAAAAACATCACTGACTGAATAGAAAACTAAGTAATTTGCAGAAAGTACAAATAGCTCTTAAGCGTAAAAAAAAATTCATAGAAAAACAAATGCAGATAGATTTTAAGGAAATGAGAACATAGTCATGTACATAATAAGAGAAAAATAAAACCACCCAGAGATACCATTTTACACCCATCAAATTGCCAAACATAAAAAATGGTTGCTAAAATGCTAGACTGACTAGAATCAACAGGTAGTTGTGTACCTCACATATAAAACAACATATACATCCTTTTCTACCTTTTTATGTAATTATACATAGTTCTGAACCTTGCTTTTTTCATTTAACTATCAATAGTAGTTGGCCCATATCAGTACATAATGAGCTTCTTTTATAATTGGCCACATAGTATTCAATTATATAGATTTGTCATTATTAATTTCCTAATTGTTAAACACTTATTAATAGATTGTTTTCATTTTTTTAGTATTACAAACAATGCGGAAACTAGTATCTTTACCAATATGCCATTTCTCATGTGAGTATATCTGTGGAATAAATTCCTAGCGCTGAAATTGCTAGGTCAAAATGTATGCATTTATAATTTTGATAGATATAACCAAATTCCTTCAGGTTAAAAAATATTCATCCTGCCCGTAGTCCCAGCTACTCAGAAGGCAAAGCAAGAGAATCGCCTAAGCCCAAGAGCTGGAGGCTTCTGTGAGCTGTGATGCCACAGCACTCTACAGAGGGTGACAAAGTGAGCTCTGTCTCTAAAAAAAAAGAAAAAACTTCGTCCTGGGTCAGCACCTGTAGCTCAGTGAGTAGGGCACCAGCCACATACACTGAAGCTGGGGG